AAAAAATATTTTTAAAGAAGTAACAATAGATTGATCTACTTTTTACCTGCTATAGAACCATAGGAAAACCCTAGATTCCAGAAAGAAAAAGAAAAACAGACTTATTCACTTAATTTAGTGACAAATCTTTGAGGTCAGACTCCCAGGGTTTGTTCCATTCCTTGCAGAACAGCATGAGTGGGAATTTAGTTTTCCTTTTTGGGTAACATTTCTACAGAGCCTGCTGATAAAGCTCTTTAATTTTCTTTCTGCAAAACAATTATTTCTGGAGCTAAACTGAGATGAAGCTGATAATGGGTCTCAATTCTTCAACTTTAAAGCAGAAACTAAAGTCATAAAGTCCTGGAATACTCTCCCAAGCACAGCCCCGTCAAGCTAAACAGCTCTTGGAAACACTTGCTGAAACTCACAGTCTGGGCAGTATCTCCTTCACTGTGGCCGTTCTTCACCTTCTTTTACAGCCACGGAAACCTGGGAGAGGAAAAGTTGGGGAAATTTTTCAGCTAATATTCACCTGAGCCTTGAAAAATTATTTTCTTTCCGAGAAACATCTCCCAGAATAAAAGAAACATAATTGATAAATAATAATAATAAAAATCTGAGTAGGGCCTATGTAAAACTGACAGATCTGAAGTCATTTCAAAGCACAGTAGCTTTTAGATGTGTCTGAGAAGCCACCGCCAATGCCTTCCATTGGGAAAAAAAACACCAAGGTGCCTCTTAAATGTGTCTCCTTCTGTCGGTTGCGAGCCCTCTTGCAGTGTTAATTGACATCAGTACAATTCAACCTGTGTTGATTGAGAACGCCTAATGCACACCTAATACTTAAACAGATGCAAGTGCCTCTGAATGACAACCTCCCCATTTGCTTTTCATGTGACATCCCACACAATCAGCCTGGATGGAAATCACATCACACAACTCTAACGTCCTCTCTGTGTTTTTGACTCCAGCTGTGAACGTTAGGGATGAGCTGGAGAATATAAGCCTACTTTAAAGCACAAGAGAAATCTACTGGCACAAAATAAAAGCTGTACTGTTTAAGGCTGTGCAAATAGCTGTGACAGTTCTCGCTCCGTTGCTTGCTTTCTTTCCTTCTTTCTTTCTTATGAAGACAATTCTTTACAAATTGCCAAATTAAAGCAGAAGGAAACTTTCTCCTTCTTTATAATGCTTTCATCAGATAACCAATATAAAATATCTTTCGGAATACTCTGTCTCCTCGGACTTCAGAGTTTGTTCTTGCTTAGTTAGAGATAAACAAATATGGCCTTAATAAATCTATCTAACATTGTAAATACACAGTTTCTGGTTCTTCTTCTCTTTGGGGCAATAGGCCAAGTTTCATCAACAATTCAGATATCCTGGTCTTTCTCAAAAATGTCATTGCATCAAGAATATTATGTCTTAGCAAGCTGTTGGAGAAAATTAAGAGGTTTATAGTAGTTTTGCGTTAATTAAAATCTGCTGCCTTTTGGAAAAGCTGATAACACACCTTGGATAGGTGTTGCATTTTAAAGAGCATGGTTCGAGAGAGGCATTAAACCTGACTTTTGCAGCCATTAACAAACAAGCATGAAATAGTTGGGTTTGGAGCAGGGAATGTATAGAGGGTTTTGTCTGTTTTATTGTTAGTTTTTGGGGTGTGTGTTTGCTTTTCCTGCACTGGCAGTTCACCCTGACATTCGTTTGCTCAGGCTGCCAGAACAAAGTCCCACAGACAGGGATGGCTCTTGAACAACAGAAACTGTTTCCTTCCAATTGTGGAGACTGGAAGTTTGAGGTCAAGGTGTCAGCGGGGTTGGCTTCTCCTGGAGCCTCTGTCCTTAGCTTAGAGTTCATGTCTTCTCCTGGTGTCTTCCCACAGAGTGTGACTGTATCCAAATCTCCTCTTCATATAAGGATAGTCATAGTGGTTCAGGGTCCACCCTAAGGACCTCCTGTTAACTTAATTACCACTTTAAGGTCCTACCTCTAAACACAATCCCATTCTGAGGTACCAGGGATTAGGACTTGGACACAGGAATTTGGGAAGGACAGTTCAGCCCAAAACAAACCTGACTAAGGGCCCTTTGGCCAAATCCGTAAGACCTTTTCCCAGGGATGGCCAGAAGGGAAAGTGAGAAGGTGGGAAAGTATTCATGAGTTCTTCACAAGGCCTGGCTGGCTACTGTAGCAACTCTTTTTTTGGTTTTCCCCTCCTTCAACATGGAGAATTAAAAAAATCCAATGAGAACTTTGAGCACACTTTGCTTTCTTTCCCTATATCTCTTTTTGTTTCTCCCAAGTAAACACATGCCTCTGTCCATCTGCATATCTCAATTAGAATGTCCCTCTCTTTGTGTTTGCATATCAATGACAGGAAAGAGCTGGTCAGTGCATCCCATCAATCAGAGCCCCTCTAGCTGGCAGACACTGTGGAGATCGCCTACCATTTGTTGAGCACCCACAATTTACCTAATGCTGTGGCAAGTGTAGGCCTGTTCTCTCATTTACTCCTCACAGCAGCCCTGGGAAGTAGGTACCGTTACCAACAATATTTTGCAGATGTGATCATGGCATCGTAGAGACCATTTGGTAATTTGTGGGAAAAGTTCTAGAGCTTAGTGTGTGGGGGAGCAAGGACTTGAACCCAAGTAGTCCTGTTCCAGACCTGAGCCCTTAATCTCTTCACAATACCTTCCCTTAGGCCTGTGAGCAGAGAAGAAACCTGTGTGCAGGAAGCTAACTGTATTTTTTTGAGAATGCTATGGAGAGGATCATCTTGGGGCCTCACAGAAAACCAGGGTTCTAGCTGCAGCTCTTCTAATAGTTGATAGTTCTCAAGGATTCTAGGTAGGCCCAAGGGAGCCCCAGAATAAAAGCAAAAGGATAATTTCATTCCAAATTGGCCAAAGGGGGTGATGTTCTAGGGGGGGGAAATGTTTCTTGATAAAGCTATTTGTTTTGTTTAGCTTCTGATAAAGCACTTGGGCTTCATATGATTTCCCTGGAAGAGCTAGATCTGTGGGAAGTAATCAGGCCCCTCCATGTAATGCTGTCAGTTCTGGAAGATACTTGCTGAAGACTCTTTCTCCCTGTGTCAGATTTGTGTGTGTTTTTAAATATGTTTTATTTATTATATTTTTATTTTTAAATGTATTTTTATTTATTTCAGAGAGGAAGGGAAGGGATAGAAACATCAATGATAAGAGAATCATTGATCAGCTGCCTCCTGCATGCCCCACACTGGGGATCGAGCCCACTACCTGGGTATGTGCCCTGACAGTGAATTGAACAGTTCATGAGTAGATGCTCAACCACTGAGCCATGCTAAAATATGTTTTATTGATTTTTATTGAGATGAAGGGAGAAAAAGGCATGGATGAGAGAGAAACAACATTGATTGGCACCCTCTTGCATACCTCTTGCTGGTCATGTGCCCTGACTAGCCCACAACTGGTCATGTGCCCTGACTGGGAATCAAACTCTTGGTGCAAGAGTGGAGATGAGGAGACCATGGTTCAAATTAAGTAATTTTCTTAAAACCGCAAAGTTAGTTAAGTGGCAGAGCTGAGATTTGAACTAAAGTCATTCTAATTTCAAAGCCTTTACATACATTTCTTTTATGGGAGTGAATATTTGGGGGTCAAAAAGGAAAAGTGAGGTCTGGAAGCTGCAGCAGTGAACATAACCACTTCCCAAATTGTTTTCTGTCCCTAGTATTCGGGGGTTTTCATCCACCACAGTAGCAGAGATTAAAATCTTACCTGGGCCTCAAGCCGGTTTGGCTCAGTGGATAGAGCGTTGACCCATGATATAAGGTCTCAGGTTCAATTCCAGTCAAGGGCTTGTACCTCAGTTGCAGGCTCAATCCCTGACCCTGGTCGGGGTGCTTGCAGGAGGCAACCAATCAATGTTTCTCTCTCTTTCTCTCTTGCTCTCTCTCTCTCTCTGCCTTTCCCTCCCTTCCACTCTCTTATCAATGGAAAAATGTCCTCAGTAAGGATTAACAACAACAAAAATCTTACCTGAGGAACTTTTCCAATTTCTCCCAACCCAGGTCACCTCCAGACCAGTTAAATCAGAGTCCTGGGGGTTGGAACCCGTCCTCTGCTTCAGAAAGCTCCCAGGTGACTCCGATATGTAGCCAAGGCTGGGACCTGTGAAGTCTTGGTTAAAGAAATTAAAGAACTTTAAGAGCTTTTCTATTCTATTTCCTGCAAACAAGAATCAAAAACCTCTTTAACTGCTCTTACAAAGCTGAAGTACAAAACTTGCTATATTTTTTTGGAGCACAAATACACCAAAAATAAATAAATAAATAATTTTTTCCAGGTAACCTTATATCTGCTCTTCAAAGCCAGAGAAAATAGAGGATGCTAAGGGTATAGACAGAGAGATGTTGCAAGCACCTATCTCTGTGATACGTCTTAAGTCAGTTCACATGATTTGGAAAGTCACTTTTAATATAGCTAGTGAAATGAGTTGTTGAATTAATCAGGCGTAGTCATAGGCAAAGTTGACCCAGGACATTTAGAAAAACACTTTGTGGTTACTATAAATATCATGTCATCACATTTTCTTAGAAAGAGCCTCAATGAAAGGTTTCTGCTTTTTCACATGAGGGTAACTCTAATAAAGGCAAGGACCCTCTCTCACATCATTTTCCCACGGAAATAGGAAGCTATCCTTTTATTAACTTTTCACCCACCCTGGTTTTAGACCTGTGTTATTACAGCACATGACCTATGCATCCCATTTTAAAATGTAACTGACCCTTGCCCAATTTCACTCTGTTCCATGCATAACTCTCTAAAACTGGGCTGTATCATATGCTGGGGGGAGGGGAGGTCCATGTCTCAGGCAACATTAATGTTTCTAAAATTATGTGCAATTTTCATACTTCAGAGAATGAAAATACAGCATTATCATAACCCCCCAAAAATCATTCTTTTCTGAAAGCTACTGGCAAATGGTGCATCCTGACCTAAGTAACAGTGCTCAATGTTTGCTTCCAGAATGACGTGGCTGCGCTTCTGAAACCAATATCGGAAAAGATTCAGGAAATCCAAACCTTCCGAGAGAGGAACCGGGGCAGCACAATGTTTAACCATCTCTCTGCCGTCAGCGAAAGCATCCCGGCCCTGGGGTGGATAGCTGTGGTGAGTCGGGTGCGGTGTGGGCCCTGCACCTCATCATATGTGCGGAGCGTTTGGGAGAAGCCACGGCTCCCTGCCGGCTCTGGCCTCTGTCCGCTGCGCTGAAGGCAGAGGCTGTGCAGGCAGAACGTACCCCACTTGTGCTGTTGGAAGGCCGGTGCTTTGTGTTCTCAGATGTGCAAAGTGTTTCATCAACCTCTACAGAGCAAAACTTGTCTCCAACTTTCAAGTCAACATCCCCATTGCTTTTCTTCTGCTTTAAGGCATTTCGTTTCTTATCCTTTTTTTTTTCTTTCTTTCTTTCTTTCTATGCTTGGGTGATGGTGCTGTTCTCTCAGTCCCCCAAACCCGGCCCTTATGTCAAGGAGATGAATGATGCCGCCACCTTTTACACTAACAGGGTGTTAAAGGACTACAAACACAGGTACGTGCAGCGTGTTAAATTAAATTTCTAGTTAACCGCTTATTAGGCATTTGTCCTAAAACTCAGTATAGTTCTTTACTGATTCCTCTCAGGGATTATTAGCTAATTTACTAAAAATGTTAATGAAAAATCCTATCTTTGCAGGTAAAGCAAATTGGAAAGTGAAAACAGTTGTCCAGACAATATGTGTGTTTTAGAAAGCCTGCCTCAGTTTTCTTATAATGAATAGACTCTCCCACTTGAATGCATGTCATCTATACAAATTCCCACTAGTAATGCGAGCGCTCTGTGATGATTTGTGACGGACCAGTCCTTTGTGGCCCCAAAACTTTTACACTGATCAAAATAGAGTTGGTGGGTGAGCAGAGAGAAGAAAGGAGGAATAGGGAAGTGAAGTATAAGTGAGGAACAGAAATGAGATGAGACAATAAACCAGGCCAATTTGAGGGAAACCAGAGATTGTGTTAAGATAAAATGCAGCCGAAGCCGGTTTGGCTCAGTGGTAGAGTGTCGGTCTGTGGACTGAAAGGTCCCGGGTTCGATTCCGGTCAAGGGCATGTACCTTGGTTGTGGGCACATCCCTGATAGGGGGTGTTCAAGAGGCAGCTGGTAGATGTTTCTCTCTCATCAACATTTCTAGCTCTCTATTTCTCTCCCTTTCTCTCTGTTAAAATCAATAAAATATATTTTTTTTAAAAAAGATAAAATGCAGTCAGGTTGGAGAGAGAGATATCTATAAGAACTGCAGCCACTCAGAGGGTTGTTGGAAGTGCAGATGAGTCTGAACCAAGGGGTATGCCCAGAGAACCAGCTTCTAAATTTTAAAATCTTTGCTTTCTACAGCCCAAATCATTGATCTTAGACTTAACCTAGGGTTAAAATTGAAAAGGGGACCAAATGGACAGACTCAAGAGCTGAATATCAGGAAAACTTCTCCTAAACCACAGTGCTACCTTCATAGTTTATTTATCCTGTGCTAGCAAAAGAGTTCTTGTAGCTTTTAAGAAGAGCAGCTGTAGGCAATTTAAGCATGCCTGTTTTCTTTTACCCACCGGGAACTTTCAATAAAATAATTATTATACACAGTAACAGACTTTCTATGAACTGTGGTTCAACCCCCAGAACTGTGGTTCAGGTGACTGCCCAGTGATGCAACTCCAAATGTTGCCGTGTTGTATTAAAAACTATAGAATTGTGCAATAGGAATGAGAAGAAGCATCAACAAATGCAAGACAGCCTGCTCTTCTCACATAAAAATAACAATTCAGAAGTGAAGTATATTAAAGAAGCTGGACATAAAATTATGTTGGCACAAGCGTATGGCCATAGTGACTTCCACATCATAAAAGATCTTCTGTGCCTACACTTTTTTTCAGGACTGGACCCCATGGGCAACACCTAGGTCTCTGCTCTTTTGCATATCACCCTTGGAGGTCATTCCTGTTTTCTCTCATGTCATCAGCTGCTGGCCTCCTCCCAGCCCCTATCTGAGTGTGTGTTGGGGCCATGGGTGTGATTGTCTCCAGGTGGCAGCACAGCCAGAAGGGCTGTGGTTTTTTTGCTTTTTGTATACACACAACTGGAGCCCAGCGTTTGCCCCTCAAATGTCAGCTACTACTGAGTAAAAAATATACTCTGGCAGCAGCAGGGACAACTCAGTTACATTTAATGGACCACCTGAAGACAGTATCAGAAGCTGAGGAAATGCAGCCAGGAGTGTAGACTCATTCACTTCACTTCCAGAAGTAGTGAAACCAGTCCCATGTCACTGGTCAGACTTCCAGAGGTGCTAACCTGACAGAAGCAGAATACTGCACACTGCTCACCTGACACCCACCTATGGGCGCACCCAAGCCAGCTGTAGTGAACTCTGCATCTCTGTAAATAACCCTTATGACTGGCTCAGCTGGTTATTTGGCTCTTTTTCAGTAAATGAATAGAGTAAATTAATTATTTTGACTTTATAGAGGAATAGCCTCTCTGAGTTATACTTATTAAAATCACATGCCCATCACATGCCTCCCCCCGCCCACTCCCCCCATAGCTTCTTCCAGAGTAAATGAAACTGAGGATGTGTTTGCAGCTCCTGATGTGTCATTGGGTCCTGCTCAATGTGTGGTCTTATAGAAACTGATTTCAGACTAGAAGACATCATATTTTATCCCTTATTATTTTGATAGAACTTTCTTCAAGTCAAAATCATAATAGTTAAAAATGAATTTGCATGTACATGTTTGGACTTCATTGCTTGTTAAAGTTTTTAAATAGAAAGTATATTAAATATGCAACCTGCTATTTCTAGAATGTCTATATACATGTGTGTTGTGTGTACATACACATATGTGCATATGTAATATATGTATTAAATAATCATATATAAATATGTGTATTCATAAATATATATAAATAATCATATAAATATTACATTGAAATGATTTTAGTGTTTTAACAATAGCAGTTGTATATACTGCCTCCTATTGCAGAGCACTACACTAAGCCCCTCACACATCCCATAGGATAAAGAAACTGATGTGAGAGACATGTGGAACTACACTTAGCCTTTTGGGTTTTGACTATGAAAGTGCAATGAAGTGAAAATGAGATTTTTCACAGATTTGATTAATATAACCAGTAAATCTAAAAATATAGAACAAAATCACACTCCATTTTTCCTCTTTGAGGGGTAGATAATAATGACTTCAGTTCCCCATTTCACTTGCCTTCAATGGCAGAGCTTAATACAGTGGGATTCCAGTGTGCTGGTGGTATTTTTCATGGAGCATTTCCAGGAAAACAAAACTAAGTATGTCCAGAAAAACAAGAGCTTTAGTAATAAAGATCTCCTTCAGTGATTATCTTCAGATCAATGGCCCAGGTTCATGATTACGTTTTTTGTTAACTGAGATCTCATCATAGTCTCATTTACCACTACTTCATTCAAAATGGAGAAAATGTGTAGGTGAGAATTATCCAAAGAAAATGCAACTATTTTTGCCTGTCTACAAGTTAAATATTTCTCACAGTCAATTCAATCCTGAATGTTAATCCTGTTGTAAACAGTAAGCATTTACTACATCTTGGCTCAGCAAAATTGGGTTAAAAGTACTGGTAATGCCCCGCTTAGCTTACATTGTGGTTGTGAGTATCAAATTAAGGTAATTTAAATGAATGTTACCTTTACATGTATGGAGTGATGGCCATTTTTAAAAAGTCATTCTTCTTTTTTTAATATATATTTTTTATTGATTTCAGAGAGGAAATGAGAGGGGGAGAGAGAGACAGCAACATCAATAGTTAGAGAGAATCATTGATTGGCTGCCTCCTGCACATACCCATTGGGGACCGAGCTTGAAACCTGGGCATGTGCCCCAACCAGGAATCAAACTATGACCCCTTGGTTCACAAATTTGTGCTCAACTACTGAGCCATGCTAAATGGGTCAAAGTCATTTTTCTTTTCTTTTTTTCTTTTTAATATACTTTATTGATTTTTTACAGAGAGGAAGGGAGAGGGATAGAGAATTAGAAACATCAATGAGAGAGAAACATAGACCAGCTGCCTCCTGCATACTCCCAACTGGGGATGTGCCCGTCAAAGTCATTTTTCTTATAACAGCAGTGTCCTTACCAGTCGAAAACCCTCCAATTTGGTTATATTTCAACTGAATAACCCAACCAAATTATTAAAAAACAAACCAAAGGACATTTTTTCTTTTCCATTGTCCTTCCTGAAAACACATAGCTTTTCATTGTGCATTAGAAGCAGCACAGAAAGGAAGGGTCACTTCTCTACCATCATCTTCCAATTTCAGGTGACATGAGGACAATGTGATCTGAGTCAACTTGATTCTGTGGGTCCGCTTCCATGATCCTCTCTATTCCCCACCTTCAGAGCACTTGGCTCCCCTCAGGAGAGACCTAGAATGCCTCTCTTTCAAGGTTCCCTTTGGAATCAGTTCACAGTGACCAAACTAGAAAAATAATTCCTCCAAGGTCATCCAGCCTTAGTTGCTGGATTATCATGTGCCTCCCTGTTTTTCTTTTAAATCTTATTTTAGATCCTAACTTCATTCTCATCCATTCTCTTTCATAATAAAGCGATTTACGCCATGTGGATTGGGTGAAGTCATATTTGAACATCTGGAGTGAGCTTCAAGCATACATCAAGGAATACCACACCACAGGCCTTACTTGGAGCAAAACAGTAAGTACCAAGCCCTCTTTCATCGGTCTAACAAAACACCACAGAAATATTCATTCTGATAGAATTTACCTCAAGGAACACATAAGATAAAACATACATGTAGAAACTGCTTATGAAAATGTCATTTGTCATAGAAAAATCTGGGAACTTCCTACATGACATACAAAAGAGAGTGGGAAAGTTGTCTATGGTAAGAACCCTGGCAGCTGTTAAAAATCCATTCCTATATAATAAAACCCTAATATGCAGATCTACCAAATGATGAATGACCTGTCACTATGACGCACATTGATCACCAGGAGGCAGACGCCAATGCAAGAGCTGCCCCCTCGTGGTCAATGGGCTCCCACAGGGGTAGCACCACTCAGCCAGAAGCTGGGATCATGGCTGGCAACTGCAGAGAAATGGTGGGAGCCCCTCCCACCTCGCTGCAGATGGGCAGTAAGGAGCAAAAGGTCATGAACTACGAGAGCCCCGGACTGCGAGAGGGATGTCTGACTGCTGGCTTAGGCTTATCCCTGGAGTGCATGAATTTCATGCACAGGGCCTCTAGTAACATTATAATTACATGGAAAGTGATTTTGTTCAGTTTAGTGTTAGAGTGCAAAAGTTTATGCATCCTAAATGGCATATATTATTAAGAAACTGTGTCATAGCCAAAGCCGGTTTGGCTCAGTGGTAGAGCGTTGATCTGCGGACTGAAAGGTCCCAGGTTCGATTCCGGTCAAGGGCATGTACATTGGTTGCGGGCACATCCCCAGAAGGGGGTGTGCAGGAGGCAGCTAGTAGATGTTTCTCTCTCATCAACATTTCTAGCTCTCTATCTCTCTCCCTTCCTCTCTTAAAAAAATCAATAAAATATATTTTTTTTAAAAAAAGAAAAGAAACTGTGTCATAAAAATGGAAGGAAATAGGAAGGTTTGAAGTTGTTATTAATTTTAAGGAAATAGAATTACAAATAAAATGTCTTTTTAGATGTTTTTGCTTCCTCATCTGGTGTTTTACAGTTTATAAAATAATATTTTTGAATACTTAAGCAATTCTACTACTCTGTATGATATCCTAGTCCTGGGTTAAAATCCCAGGCTGTGTCTGTTCTCACTTCAATTTCTGCATGAGATGTTGATCTGACCTTTGCCTTCTTCAGTTTCCTCTCTTACCCTCCTTACCTCACTGCATCCCAGCATTGCCAAACTGCTCATGGAATCCTATGTGCAATGCTTAGGCTGAACCAAATCAAATTTCAAATTTCATAAAGGTCAGTCTTTACTGCAATGTCCCAAACATATAGCATACTATATGACCTGAGTTCTCTGGGGGAAGTACCCCCTCCCTCTTCTCCAAGACTCAGCTTCAACATCATTTCTTCAAGAATTTTCTATTCATCTTTACTGGCTCTCAATCGGGAATGGATGGCCCTTTCTCTATGCCTCTTTCATAGCTTAATTATACCTCAATCATAGCTTTCAGCACATAGAATTTTAATTTTTTTGTGTGCTTCTGGAGCTCTCTCATTCAACTGGAAACTCATCCCTATCTTTAGCCCCTACCATAGTACCTTGGCAAGGAATGAGTGATCAGTAAATAGTTTGAACTAAATTGTGAATCAAGGGTCTTTTAGAATCTTCTTTGACCTTTTAAGACTATGTACTTGTTTGGGAAATGCTTCTCATGGAAAAAATTTCTTCTGTTAGAAATGAATGTTACCTTTCAGTGGTCACAGTGGATGGTCTAACGAGAGTAAACACTGAGATGAAATGGCATATTTATGAATTCTATTTGAGGATAGAACCCACACTCTCCTGATAATCATACTGCATCACTCAATCTCATTCTAAATGTTAATGTTAGTAGATAATGCTTAATAGGAAAGCAGAGTTTGTAATTTTTCAAGGGAGTGTGGGACTTATGCATTTGTTTTCCAATGCTTTTACAAATGTTAACATTGACCCCTAAAGCCTGACACTTCTTTTTATTTTCTACTTTGCCTATTTTTTCCATAAACTGAAATGTATAGTGCGAGATACAATAACTGAATTGATTATTTTTCTTTTGCTCACAACATTATGATTTCTGAGAGAAGAGTTCATAAATATTTGAAGGTTATATGTGGAAATGTGTAGGTGGAATTATTTTTCATACATTTCCAATGAGATGCTGTTTTGTAATAGGTGAATTTGTCATCAAGGAAAATTGTCACAAGTTTGCCATGAAGATAGGTCATCATGAAAGAATAACAAACTAAACATCAATGGTCTTTGGATATCTCGTTATTTCATTGTAGATAAATAGAAACAGAATAAGAATCAATCTATTGAAAATAATCATGTGAACAAATAAATGTTAATTCTCTAATGGTGCCCATAGAATGTGAATAGAAATTTAATTTTAAATGGTATGAATACCTTTAATGCAATATGCAAATCTGAGTAATTTTGTTTTAAATGTAAAAAAAATAATAATAATTGATCAGGATTGGAACCAAGATGGTAGCATAGGTAAATGCCTATACTCACTGCCTCACATAACCACATCAAAATTAGAATTAAAATACTGAACAACAATCATTTAGAACCATCTGAAATATGGCTAAGTGGAAATCATACAACTGGAGAAGTAAAGGAGAAAGCACATTGAGACTGGTAGGAGGAGCAGAGGTGAAGAACAGGCTGGTCTGACACCACATGTGGCATCTTTTTAATAGGGAGGTATATCTCCAAGGCCTCCTGTGAGAAACAGGGGGTCCCAGCTGCAAACAAAACCCCCAGCCCAGGTTCCCAGAGCCAGCGCACCCGATGGTCAGCTTTAGACCATACCAAATTACAACTCTATACATCCACAAGTGACACACTCAAGGGGCAGACTCAGTGAGCACCAAAGCCCCACTGAAGCAAGTCCTGCTGCATAGGGGTGCCTCCTGCATAGCAGCTCTTCCATTGTAGACACAGCTGGTCCTCACAGCCAATTGGTTTAGAGTCAATTCCTTCCAGTGATGCCAACCACAATCAAGGCTCAACTACAAGACTGCATACAGTCCACATAGAGTGCTCAGCTCAGGTGACTGGAGAGACTAAGCCATTGGGCTCTAAGGACACCTAATACACAAGGCCTTTCTACCAATTCTAGGAAACAAATAGAGAAGCAGCTAAAATGTGATACAAAGAAACATGTCACAAATGAAATAAATGGAAGCAAGCAAAATACTGGATACAGAGTTCAAAACAATGGTTTTAAGGTTACTCAAGGATCTTAATGAAAGCTCCAAGGGACTTAATGAGAACTTCAAGGGAAATAATGAGAGTATCAAAGGACTTACTGAAACTTTCAAGGATCTTAGGAGAATTTCAAATACATGAAAAGGGACCAGACAGAAATTAAGCATAAACTAATTGAAATAAATAATAACAGTAAAGTAGAGGATTCCAAAAATCAATCAATGATTTGGAATATAAGGAAGCAAAAATCACCAAATCTGGTCAAAGAAATAGACTTACAAGTTCAGGAAGCACAGAGAGTCCCAAAGAAGAAGAACCCAAAGAGGCCCACACCAAGACACATCATAATTAAAATGCCAAGGATTAAAGACAAAGAGAGAATCTTAAAAGCATCAAGAGAAAAGCAGTTAGTGAGAAATCAAGATGGCGGTCTACAAAAGCACCTAAACTGCCGCCTCACACAACAATTTCAAAACAACAACTAAAAGATAGAATGGACATCATCCAAAACCACAGGAAAGCTGGCTGAGTGGAAATTCTACAACTAGAAAAAAAGAAAGAAAGATAAAAGCTCAAGGATCAGAGGAGCCGCAAAGCACTGAGGGAGAGTGGTCGAGTGCATGGCAAGCAGGAGGGGAAAGGAAGCCCCTGACTGCACTAAACCCCAGCTCCAGCCGAAACCCCATGAACACAGGCTCATACAGGTGGAGTCTGAACTGTAGAGAAAGACACACAGAGACTCAGAGACTTATAGACTTGGGGGAGTCGCTGCAGGCAGGGTCTAAAGGCATTCACATGTGCATGGGTGACACAGAGAGGTCTGACTGCAGAGGTTGCCACAGCCTCTCCATAACGGAAGAAGTCGGAAGCTGCTGACTGCACTGAATCCCAGTTCTAACTGCACTCAAACCCAGGTCCGGGCAAGTCCCTGAGAGATCCACACTCTTACAGAGGGAATTTGGACTGTCAGGCAGAAACTTGGGATCCATAGAAGGCAGAGGTCTGAGTCACATGCACAAGGGCAGAGCTGATGGGAAGCCAAGACTGTCAGCTCAGCCCTGATACTCCGTGCCATCTAAGCTGAGCACAGAGGCATTTGCAGTTTTGCAAGTCTGATCCTATAAGACTGTCTCCAATACAAAAAATATCCTGGCATAGACACAGCTAACTCTCACAGCCAATTGGCCTGGAGGTCATTTCCTCCCACTGATACCAACCACAATCAAGACTTAACTACAACAAGGCTGAACACACAGTCCACAAAGTGGAGCACCAAAAGTGTCTACTTCAGGTTATTGGGGAGGCTGACCCACCAGGCCATATAGGACACCAAGCACACAAAGCCACCCTACCAACTCAGGGAAGCAGCAAAAATGAGGAGACAAGGAAACAGATCACAAACATAAGAAATGGAGGAGAGCAAATGACTGGATATAGAGTTCAAAACCACAGTTATAAGATTTTGCAAGAATTTCCTAGAAAAGGCTGATAAATTTAACAAGACCCTCGAGGATATGAAAAAGGACCAACTAGAAATTAAACATACATTGACTGAAATAAAAAATGTTATACAGAGACCCAACAGCAGATTAGAGGATCACAAGAATCAAGTCAAAGATTTGGAATACAAAGAGGCAAAGGACCCTCCTCCAGAGAAGCAGGAAGAGAAGAGAATCCAGAAAGTTGAAGATAGTGTAAGAAGCCTCTGGGACAACTTCAAGTGAACCAACATCAGAATTATGGGGGTCCCAGAAGAAGAGAGATAGCAAGATACTGAAAACCTAT